TGATAGGGTACGGTGCTACATCTGATTGTTCGTCCCAGTGTTGAGCAGCTGAGACTGAGGGAATGGATCGGCTCGCATAGGTTGGATGGTTCGAATAATGGTACTTGCGAGCTCCTTCGAGGACAATGCGATCCATTGCGGCATATCCTGTTGAGCCGCCGCCAAGAACAAGGTGCAAACGGCGAAGTCGACCGGCGTGTTGGTCAGACGAGGACCAGCCCTCAGATTCGGACGCGAAGGGAACCGTAAAATCGATCTCGGCTGTGATTTCTTCGCGCTCATGCTCACCCAGTGGATCGAGCCGGAATATCGGCGTCTGGGACTGTCGAACACAGATAGATTCGATTGCGTGAACAATGATTGTCGGCCTCGTGGTAGCAGTCGAGACAGGACCCATGGCCGCACGCACGACAAAAGAATAAGACGTCGGCCTGGGGCGATGAAAGTACTTAGTAGTGGACTTCTGAGCTTGCTTTGCCAAATACTTCGTTTTCGGAATATCGGAAAACGAGACTCTGCGACCCTCTGATGGCGAGCGGGTGGTGCCCGGTGCGCGGTCAGCTTTCTTAAGGACAGCTCGAGAAGGTGTTCGTGACCGTGCTCAGGAGGACCAAGTCCTTGTACTCAGTTCCGTCTCTTGTAATCCGGTTCTGTGGGAGTGGGTGCTTTCGTGGCACTGGGTGTTTTGCTGTTTCTTCATGAACAAGGCTGTAGACAGCTGCTTGTTGGAATGGGAAATTGCCTGACAGCAGTCATGTCGGCTGTAGTCAGCTGCTTGTTGGAATTTGAGAACAGCTGTGCCTGAGAGCTGTCATGTCATGTCAGTTGGTATAAATGATGTTTTGCGCGCGTTGGGAAAACAAATTTAAATGTTGCATTCGGGCCACCTGTCGACGATGATTCATTGACCGCCAAACGTTCATGCTTTTTATAAAAACACTTTGGGTGGAACATGTCAGATGTACACTGCACATGTCAGATGTAAACTCATGTTCAATCAAGATTGATTGGCGTTGTTTGCAGTTTCTTTCGACACGCAGCTTCAATTAACCTGCATGCCTGGCAAAGAGATGATTCAGTGATGCGACTGTGGTGAAGTTGCCGCTGGGGCTCCAGTTTTTTTTTGCTTGGCACGGGTCCGTCGCGGTCAGGCCCTTATATGGATCATTCCATTTTGCGAAGAATTCTACTAGGCCAATCAGTGGAGACTGACCTGGAAACGCCTCTGAGTTAGGCCAATCCGGACCGAAGTTCAAGGCTCATTGAGGGTGCGTTGTGCATTGGGTTAAGTTAGATTAAATTGAATCTTGAATGTGGTCTGTAGGCTCCATCTATTTTCCGCCTTTACCACTTGTTCCAGGCCTGGTCTGGCTGAGATGATCGAGAGATGATTATAGACTTTGTTTTTGATTGTGGTTTAGCTGAGATTGGAGATATCCCCGTTTCCGCTACATACTTTTCTTCATTTCTGCTTGCCAGGGAAGTTGTAGTGGCACCAGAACCGTGAGCCTGGCTTTTTTGTTTCTCAGACCTTTTCATCCTTGCAAGGAAGTTGGCTTTGACATTTCAAGCTGGCCGCTTCAGAGAACTTTACTCCTTCTACTTGTTTTTCCGCAGCGCATTGTTTTGAGGGTAGGGTAAGACATGAAACGCCCTGCCGTGATGGCCAAGAAGCGACCTGCTGCGGCACCACGGAAGCGGCCTGCCTCGAAGAAGAGGAGACACTAAAGACTAGAGGGGTAGAGTTGCGAATGAGCAAATGTTTGGGTATCGCAGCGCTTGGCTGAAGCTACACAGCACAATGTCGACACATTGTTTGCCAATTGCTAGTCCAGAACTTCAATGCACAAAACAAGAACTCAAGTTGCTCCTTTCTGGAACCAACAATTCCTTCAGCGACCCTAGGCCAGAAGCTCAATCCTTGCTAACCTGCTGTGGAACCAACAACCGGCCAAGCGACCTACTAACCATTGAGGAGGCGCCTCCAGAGGAGGCAGAGTTTCAGGCAAGTGACCCTGATTTGGAAGAGTCGCTTTCAGACTCAGATGTGCATTATGCATCTGATGGCTCAGGCTTTTTTGCGAGCGATGGTGAGGGGCCTGAGAGAAAGAGATTGAAGCGTCAGTACCGGCAGCGTCGCACTGACGAGCTACAATTTATGGGAAAACCTGTCTGCGCCAGGGCTTGCGCGCGCCTGCTGGCTATTGGACAAACCACACTACAACGGATGAGACGAGGGGAGAACATACAATGAAATCGAAGGCAAAGGAGCCAGTCCATCCTACCTTTGGGTTTGCTATGCGTGGCGACTCTCGTGAAAAATGGCCGACCATCGTGCAATACCTTTGGTTCGTTTACCATTCGGTGGGAGAAGTGATGCCGACTGACACCGCCCACAAGTTGAAACCAAAGGTGTTGAACCAGCCGGAGGAGTGTCCATTCCCAGAGCGTGAGCCGGACGACCTTACGCGGCACATTAACAGCCTCATGTCCTCCTTGCAAAAGTACGAACAATTTCTGTTTTAACCCACCTGGTGGGACCAGGAACATTTAAAGGTGAAAGACGATATGTCCAGCATTCTTCAAGGACTGAACTCTTCTATGAGTTCCTGGCTCACTGCGAGTCTATTGGAGAAACAAATCCTGCCAGCTATCAAACATTTCTTCGCGTGGCATCCAAAGTGCTTGGACTGGACCTTTTGAGCGGGACAGCCAACTCAAGTTTAGAAAGCCTGGGCAGCACGCCAAGTGCGACACTTGCTGTCTCCTAAAGCAGAAGTTACGGTTCAAACAAGGCCGGATCACTGTGGCCACGCAAGAGGACAAGGAAAATATTGTCAAGAGCTACAGCCATCGCATTTTGTCCCAGTGGCTCGACCGCCAGGGCATGTCGTTCTTGGTCGCACACATGGGTTCGTCAAGGTGAACGCCGGCTTCATGCTGCCGTGGCCACAAGTTCCATCACACTAATGTGTGATGGAGTGGACCAGGCAAAGTTCAGAACACCACGCCTCAGGACCACTTCTTCCAAACTTCTGTCTAAATTGTTTAGACCCCGACTACATGTTGGAGGAGCTTGGCCCCATGGAAAGGCACTTCACTTGAGTATTGCGGGACGAAGATTTCCCAAAAGATTCTGTTTGTCAGATTGAACAGCTTTCTCGAAGCCTGGAATCCTTATACTTGGAACAGGGCAAATTGCCTTGCGGATTGTTTTGTCAGAGTGACAATTGCTTCAGGGAAGGCAAGAACGGACACGTCATTGGGTGGCTGATTCTCGTTACAGCTCTACGTGTGTTTCGCTGGACATGTGCCAGCTACCTGCGTGTTGGACATAGCGCCTTGACTTTGCCTACTTAGTATAATACTTTTTGAAAACCAGACTATTGTTGTAGTCTATGTTGATGCCTGCTCATGCCCTGCCGTCTCCCTGCAAGGCCATGAAGATATTGATCAGATCTTCTCAGTCAAAGCCAGCCTCATTGCCAGATACCTTCAACAATCCAGAAGACTTGTTGGAAATTCTAGCCGACACATCATCTCGACCAGACAATGCTGCGGAGTTGATCAGGAAGACATGGGATGCTCCTCGATTGGAAGTCCGACCCTACAAGTTGGATGAAGCGGCCAACTGGAAGGCATGGGTGGCCATGCTGGGGATCAGAGTGAAAGGACTTCGTTGCTTGCAAGCTGATAACAACTTTTACTTTCCACAAGTTGGTTGAGTTATGTCAGCTGTTGCTCAGATATTTGTTTGGGTCTGAGATGTTTGTACTTGTTTCTCATAAAAGGTTTTGTGGGGCAAGTCCGTATTTCAATGAGAAAAGACATCGATGCTGCATCGTACGGACGTGTTGAAGTCAGTGAGATCAGAGGAGCCACGCCCCAACCTGAAGACATTTTGTTGATAGCAAAGAAGTATATGGCTGACCCAGAGCCATATAAGATTGTCACATTGCTGACTGTGGACCAAGCTGCGGAGATTCGGCGCAGTTTCGCCCAGCCAGAGGGAGTGGCTCCAAGACGGGTGATACAAGAGAAGGTTCGCAAGAAGGTGGAGAATTTAGTGCCAGCGTGTGTTGAACAAGGCCTTTTGCCCTTGGATGGCGCTGCTTATTTGACCAATTGGGTGGCTGGAACGCTTCCCAAGAAGCCCAGACCAAGAGAATACACTTATTTGACACACCGTTTTGGCCCTCCAGATGCTCCTGGGCCCAGCAGGCCATGGGTCGCTCCCCCC